TTTGTGATGTTCTTGGGAGAGTTTGTAGTTTGTAGAAGTGTTACAATATTACAAATGAACACACACACTCACACACAAACTCACGTATACATATATGAGAGAAAACAAATATCTTCTTCACTTGAGTGTATTTTGAAGAGTATGGCTGGTGTATGCAAGTTGATGTAGACTAGTAGGAGCAAAAAACATGGGTCTTCATTTGGCTTCTTATTTCCTTGACTTTGTTTGACTTCCTCTTTGTTTGACTATTCAACACATATACAACATATATATAATACATATATACAATATATATAATACATATATACATATATAATACATACATATGTATATAATACATATATATATATATATATATATATATATATATATATATTGTTGAAACTGTTTAGTCACACATATGTGTTTTCGTCATTCGCGTGTTTTCGTATTTTCCGTTTTATCACGCATTCATGCAACCTGAAATAACTGATAATATTTGTTAGATTGTATAAAAACAGTTCATCTTATTTCAGTTATGGTCACATACAAGGTTACATAAGAACATTTTTCAACAGTCCGGGTTGGGTCTTTTGTCACGAGTCATGCACCAAAGAAAAAATAATTCAACTTTAGAAATTTAACCCACTTTGGAGGGGGCAAAAATGCTGCATTTAAGAACTCGGTGGGCCAGACGTAAACATGGATGAATGATTGAGGAATCCTTGGAGGATGATGATGAATATCGTGGTTCGTGGGTGATTGTTGCCAAAAATGGTGTTCGTTAAAGGTTGTGGGCCAAGGTCGCCTCAACGTAGGTGGTTGCACGATTATGAAGGAACTAACCCCAACCAATGTTTTCAAATAGTGATTGAACTCCTTCTAGCACTCCGAGAGCTTCAAAAGACTCTCTATGGAGGAACTTTGTTGATTTGACTTTGTGCTTGTTGGAAATGAGAAGTCATATGTTTAACTGTGTTCACGGTTCAACAAACGAAATGGGGGGTCGTTGGATTTGCTTTTCGACCCATTCTTAGATGAACTTGGTCCGGTTTTGGCGCACTTAGACATTGTGACACGGGACAAGAATTGGACAATATGGATTCACAATTCACACTAAAAACCATACAGATGACAACACAATTCCAACAAGAAATGGGTATTCAATATGAAAATATTCAAGAGAAAGGAATGAATGTACCCAATTTGATTATACCCGGGACGAATTGTGGAAGCAGAATTTTAACCACCAAAAAGATTCTTCAAAACACACCCCCAACTTATGTGTTTTCTCTATGTTTTACGCTTGAATTGCTAGAACGACCCCAAAAACATGTCTCAAGATGATTTTCCGACGATTAGAGTGGCGGCACTTGGAATTGGGTGAAAAATTTTAGTGAGTTTTTTGGGGGAAGATTGGTATGCTCCCACTAACATAATAATTATACTATTGCTAGCATAACAATTATGCCCCCACTAGCTTTGACATGTATTCAAATATCAACTGGACTTTTAGAAAATCAATGCTCTTGACTTTCTTACTAAAGTTCAGATTTCTAATACGTGGTGTTTCGATAAGTCTTCATCTAGACTTCTTAAGCTCATACACCTTTCATTAGACATCATATGTGTATGTTTAAACCTTTTCAAAACTTATGACAATAATTCCTGAATGTTCAAATATTTCTTGTCATTTCTCACAATTCGAACTATGAAAAGGGATGTCATAATCATATATGAATTTGAGAACGCAATGTCACAACCGATGATCTTAATGATATCAACCAAATTTGAAATCTACTATCGAAAATGTTTCCTCATAATCATTTTCATGAATCAAAGTGTAAACTTTTGCCACCTAGATTTTATGGTGTATGTGTTCCTATCTATGTGAGTTTATCAATTCCAACCTATAATCATAAGATAAGGTTGAAAACAACCCAAAATCGAATTTAGTTTTCCTTTCATGGACCAAACTTTGCTTATTCTTATTTTCTCGCCATTTGGCAGCATAAGAGCCTACCAATGCTTCCAAGTTGTCAAGCAGCTCACTTTTATTGACCAATGTACTATCACTGACCAATGTGCTCTTGCTTTTTGCATTCAAATGAGGACTCATAGAACTCACATCATAGTCAACTTTACTGGAATGTGTATAGAAACAAGAATGTGTCAACTTAACACGATATGTAATCAACTTGAGGTCGAGTGCTAATTTTAACTAATAGGTTTATTCTTGACTGATTCCTGAAACTTTTCAAGATCATTAAGACTCCCACTAACTTCTTGACATATAATTTTTTATGTTAAGGAACATTTATTGACAAGCAAAAACGAATATTCAAAAGTTAGTGTCGGTGCTTATCAAGACAACACTTCATTTAATTGGTACTAGTTTATACTTTGTTTCAATCAAAACAACACAACTACCAATTTCAAATGTGTTAGAGCAAGAAAATATTTCTACTCCACATCTCATGAAGTGTTATAAACCTACTTAGTTTGAGATGAGCTTCAAGATACGATTTGAAGTTACTAGAGTGTCACTCTAAAACTTGATTTGGAAACGAAGTACGAATCATCGCTTGACTAAACTATTCCAACAATTATCAATTCCTCTTCTTAGCCGAAACAATTTCACTAAGACGTACTTAAAGGATCAATTGTGACATAGTTCCATAATCATTAAGATGATAATAAAACATGATACTAAGGTACTCTCCTTTCACATAATCAATAAGTATAGCTTAACTTATAGAGCTTTTAGCGAGAAACAGGAAAAACGCATGAATATAACTCTGACCTGAATACCTCTTCACATCGGGCTCCTAGTGTTTTAGGGACTTTACTAAATTATTCTAAAAGTTGGGAAGAAAATCTAACTCAGAACCTAGAGAGGTTAGAGAGAGATTGGAAGGAATTTGGTTAGAAAATAGAGCAATATCGAGGGTCTATATATATTGTTGGGGGTGCGTCGTGCTTGTCCAAGAGGCTCGCCGCGCCTTAGCGCTTTATTGGCTTTTTGCCACGTGTCGCGATCCAATTAAGCCACATCCTTTTATCTAGAACTTTGCCACGTGTCACCATTTCATGGTGCAACGTGTCACACTCTTATGGAGCCATGTCGTCGTGTCTCTTGGAGGAGTGGGCGGCCGACCTTGCCACGTGGCACCACCAGGTGGTGCCACGTCATCAACATAATGTTATTTTTCGCATATCTTCGGACAACCATAACTTTCACATACGAGCTCCGTTTGTGGTGTTTTTTATATTCCCGGAATCCTCTCGACGAGCTCTACAAGTTTCATTAAAGTCTCAACCGCTAATTTTTCGCTCTAACTAAAATTCATATTTAAACCGGTCTATACGGTAAAGTCCGTGTAAAATTCATAACTCATTCATACGAATTTCGTTTTCGACGACAGGTTCATATTTACATGATATTCAATTCTCATTTAGATTATTTTGGCTAACAATCAACTAATTAGAATTTCATTTTTAGTGCATGCACTATTGCACCAAAACTTCGAAAAATCATAATTTCCTCTCACCAAGTTAGATTTGGATGTTCTCTATATGCACGTTCTTAGCTTTACGATTACTACAACTTTCATTTAGATTGTTTAGGCTAATAATCAACTTATCAAAAAATTACTTTTTACGATACATAGTGTCGTATCGGTTTAATCATGAAACTTCGAATAAGCATAACTTATTCATATGAAGTCGGATTTTAAAGTTATTTATATGTACGAAATCTTTGTTATATATACTATCACTTTGGTTAAGATTATTTATCCTATCAAAATGTCATTTTGATCGTTTATTGTATTTTATTTGTCTAACCCGAATATGTGGGTGTTACATCATTTATATGACTTTTTAAAGGAAATAAAGGGGACGCACAAGCTTTCACAATTCCATCCTCATCAATAAATGTAGACTGAAACACCTGGGAAGCAAACAAATATTCAATTCGGATGATCAAGAAATGTAAATCATACAATTCATAAAATTAAAAAAAGAATAAGAGGGTAGTATGGTCTTATTACCATGTTTTCCAAGATTTATGTTGAATCTTGAAAGAAAGGCAACAAATACAGCTACCATTGAAGGTAAAAATTTAAAGCAGCTATGCAACACAACATTTCATTCCTATAAGAAATAAAGGCAACTTTATGCATAACTACGTATTTTTACTCTAACCTGATGCAAACAAACTTCATGGCTTAGTAGTTATATGAAAGTACGATGCAAACATGTCTGTTAAGAAATGGAATTAAAACAGGTCCTTCCATATATAATACTGTGAATAACTTTTCATTTTTACATTTTTACAAAATCTCTTTTTAAAAATCTTAACTTTTCATTTTTACAAATTTTTAACCCATGTTGAGTCATCACCTACTAAATAGTTGATATAAGATAGTGCATTTAGTAAACACTTACAATTCCTTTACCTCATACACACGAGATGTAGGAAAACAAGTAAAGAAACGACGGCTCTATAGGAACCATATTGGACGTTGAAGAAGTTAGTTTTTTGCAAAAAATTTGCATGTAAACAAAACACCGAAAGACAAAACTCATGTAAATAAACAAGGCAAGTGTGTTTGCTGCAGTGATGTCACAACCTTAGAATTTTTTTTCTTCCGAACTAGAGCTTTAGGGCCCTAATTCTAAGAGACTCATATTCTCCAAACTTAACTAAATATTAATATATCTTAAATCTGAGTTTGAACAAACTCAAGGAAACAGTCATCAAAGCTATCCAACAACATGTATTTGTTCATTTGTTGGTTTGCAATGTTTGTGTGTGTGGCCATGTAGCTTCAACCACATACGATTCTTTTATAAATTTGTTCTATATAACTTTCTTTCATATATGTTCTACACATATAATCCATCGTTCGCCAAATGTACGGAATGCATGCACATGTTTCTTATGAAACAAAAGAATCAATGCTTCATGTATTTTCAAGGTTGATCTCTTACTCTCTTAGTACATTTTCCATGTCAAACACGTCCGCATCATCTACTCATCACGTGTTTTCCTCATGACTCATGAGTTATGAACCCCCACCTCATCGTAATCTCATCAAGGGCGAAGATTCGATAAGTTCATATTCCAAAGTCTTTAAAATCGGTCCAAAATATATTTCCTTACTTCTATTGCACAACACCGTCAAACATCCTTTCTCCGTTTCCTCGACTCGAATCGACTTTCCCTAAAATCTCAGTTTTCTGTTACGAATTCAATTCTTTTCAGTTTCTTCCGTTTCTCTCTCTCACACACACAAACACAAAGGAAGACACACACTAAACAAGATCAGAGATGATGTCAATTGAAAGGCTTTGTTCGCTTGAAATTCTGTGTGGAGTTCAAGAAGAAGTTCTCACAACGATGGATCAAATAGCTCGAAGGTTTCCGAAAAATTCTATACAGAGTACGCCCCGATGTTGTAAATTTAGGGTAGTTTTCTTCTAAGTACAATACAATCAGATAATCATCAGGAGTGACTTCTGGAATTTTTCGTCAATTTTATGTTTTAAATTTGGAAGATCGTATATCCGAATCGGTTTTTATCACTTTTTTTACGTTGCTAAAAAACTCTTCGTTTTCTTAGTTGTAAGTAATAGTTAGAAGTTTCGGTGGAATTATATAATCCTAGGGTTTCGTATGTGCTCTTTCCTTTCTAAGATCTGATAGTTCTGGTTGGCGTTGCTGTTTAAGCTTTTAGATAAGTAAATTGAATGGCGGGAAGTAGTAGTGCGTTAGGGTTCCCGAAGAGTCAATGCTGTAGCAGTTTAAGAGAACAATTGGCGAGAACTACATTGCGAAACGTGAGATTAAAGGGTCACTCGTATGTAGAGCTTAGGGAAGATAACAAGAAGCCTATATTCTTCTGCGTTTTGTGTCTGTCTCCATGCCATAACGATTCAGTTCTACACGATCATCTTCGCGGGAATCTCCATAAGAAGAACTATGAAGCTGCTAAGTCTACCTTGCTGAAAGAGAATCCTTGGCCCTTTAACGATGGGATGCTTTTCTTTCATACTCCATGTAATGAAAAGAGTCCCTTGCTAACTTCAAACCCTAACTTAGGAAGTAATTTGCTGTTGGAGAGTAATGAGAACAATAGTCTTGCCATTGTTACTTCTAATGGAAGCCCAAGTTCACTTGGAGGTGATGACAATATGGATGTTGATGAAAATGGGTATCATTTGATTGTACCACAGGTTCTGCATAAAGATAGACTTACTGATCTAGAAGTTAGATCAATTGGTCTTGGGAAAATTGGTGTTAGATACTATGAAAAAGATGGAGTTAGAAAGTGTATCAGTAGAATCTGGTGTGAATGGCTTGGGGATTGTCATCCTAATCAAGATGATACAAATACAAATACAACCCCACATCATGACTTTGCGATTCTGTCATTTTCATTTAACTATGACATGGGCAGAAAGAATGTGCTAGATGAAATGTTGTTTTTGCCTTCCTCAGAACTAAACAAGGAGAACAGAGGAAAGAAGAGGAAGTCATTCTCTGATCCAGAAGATATGAGTGAATCTTTGAGCAATCAGTGCGAATCTTCAGGGGAAGAATACTTAACTTCTGTTGACTCTAGCTCAAGAAAACTTGTAAAATACGATGATAACTCACTGAAATTGGGAATTATACCTAGCCGAAGTGTGAGGAAAGAGTTAAGGGTGCATCGACGTGTAGCTTCAGAAAGAGTGTGTGATATCTGTCAACATAAGATTCTTCTTGGTAAAGATGTGGCTACACTTCTCAACATGAAGACTGGTAGACTTGTTTGCAGCAGTAGAAACTTGAATGGGGTATGTTCAAACTTCAATATCTTCTCTTCACACTCTTTATGTTTCTGTGATTATATATATATGAAGCTTTTCTGTATAACTATGTAGGCGTTTCATGTATTTCACATTTCGTGCCTTGTTCACTGGGTGCTTTTCTGTGAGTATGAAGTTTATACAAAACAACTAGTTGCTCCTAAAGTAAAGAAGCGAGGTAGAAGGAAGAAAGGTGTGAATATTACTGAAGCTGAAAAGGAGGAAAGAAAGCAAATTTATTGTGCATTTTGTCCAGAATGCCAGGGGACTGGTATAGACATTGATGGAGATGAGTTAGAGAAACCAACAGTCTCCTTGTCTGAGGTTAGTAAAATTTCTAGTTTTCTTGATGTAGTATTAAAATAATAGCTTCCAAAATCCAAACTATGGTGTGTTATTTTAATACTATATCAAGAAAACTAGAAAATTATAATGGTTTGAACAATCAAAATTAATTCCCTCCATTGTTTCAGATGTTCAGGTATAAAATGAAAGCAAGTGATGGACACAGAGAATATAGAAAATGTCCTGAAATGTTGCAAAATTGCTCAACAGGGTTTCATTTTCCTACCCAGTCTGAAGAAACAATGCAGGTTATACATTTTTTACTTATTTACCTATTACAGAAGCTTACTTCCAATTTGATAAATAATCATGTATGTAATGTTGGTTATTTCAGGAAAACGTGACACCATTGAAGATGCTTCGATTCTATCGTGCTGTTTGAGTAATGAGTAGTGGCTTCATTGTATGTATGTAGTTGTACATTGGAAAAACATCTCAAGTAGGTCCTTGTAGTTTGTAAATGTACATGTGTATCATTTCAAGTATATGGTTCTTTGTTTGGGTTGTGGTTAATAATTTCTATTTTTTTGTATGTTTTTTTTATTATATAACAAATTAATTGAACACAAGATGTTGAAACATTGAGTATGTATTGTAATGAAGAACCAATTCATGGCCGTTGTATGGATAAATGATGCTTATAATATATTAGAGAAAATTTTAGCCACTTAGCAAAATGGAACCAAAGAATAAATGAGGGGAATTTTGTAAAAAAGTTGGGACTTAATGCGCTAAAAAACTTAATTATCACTTTCTCTAGCTATATCAATTCCTTATCTATATTTAGATTGTACATGCTAAATCTAACAAACATATTTGCAAATGGTTGAAATTTTATTGTCTTCAACGAGCCAAATAGATATAATTTGAACTGCGAGTACAAATCAAATGTGTCAAATAAATCACAAGTCATTGAACTCAACCAAAACATGTTCGATGGTTATCACTTATACGCTTTTTTTTATCATTTTTTGACGAAAAGTTAGAATATACTAGGTTACTGTTGTTAAAGCAATCATCATATCTATAAAAAGAAAGAATTTAAACTGAACAATAAATACCAAATGATTAATTTTTATTATTCCTTCTAAGCTAAATCAGCAATGAATCCTTCTAAAATATCAATATAAATAAATAATCATCTAAAGCTAAATCTCAACGATTTGCAACATCCTTCGTCGATCAAAATGCGATTACTGGTTGCTGAACGACAAATTGAACGCGACTGCAAATGAAGAGAAGAAAATGAAGTCGCCGGCGATTGGATAAAAGAGTCGACGATGAGATTAGTAATGTCGGTAAGTGGTTTCCTGTACTTGTTTTTGTTCTTCTTCTTCAACGTCATCTTGGCACTAAGCTTGTTTTTGGAGATGGAGAAAAATGGAGGAATGTTCTCTTTATTATCATGGTATTGGCATAAAGAGTTCATTGCCTCCATCTTCTCGATTTCCAGAGTAGGAGAAACTTGACTGGAAGAGTTAATATATACGACTTCGATTTGGATTTGGATTTGGATTTGGAGGGATGAATTTGATATTGAAATTTTGGGAATTCGGACATTGGAGGAGGGAAAGGGAAGTCTATATTTGGGTTTACGGAAAAAACAAAACTTGAAAAAGCTTTTCCGTAACTTTGGTTTTGGGGGGCAAAATCAAATTGGCGCCTGCCGGCTGCCCTTTTCTCCTCCGTGTCATTAAAAAAAATGATTATTATTATTATTATTATTTTTATTTTTTTTAAAGAACAATTACTTTTCCATTATTCGTCATACACTCATATGAATGGTTTATTCAGTCGTTTATAACCATTTCAACTTTGGTTAAATGTCAATTATATTAGTAACCAAGTTATAACCCGTGCATACCATGATAGCATGTTTAAAATTATTATATAGATAAATAGATAAAAATATAATTAATGTAAAAAAAAATTAGCGTATTGTTGATTGTAAATAATTCTCATTTCTAACTAAATTTGTTACGTAAAATAAACATAATATTTTAATATAAATTTTGAAAATGTTAATATGAATAAGATTTTGTATTTTCAAAATTTTAATTGAAGTTGATTTGTTACAAAAAAATATATATATTGTAGAAATCATAGAAAATTACCATGTGTCAAAGAGAAATACTAGAAAATGAACACTTGCCATTTTTAGATTTCATTTATTAAAGTAAGTAAAGATAGATAAGAAGTTGTAACTCGTAATATCACTAACACCTCAGGTTATCATTTAAATTGTTCAAAAGATAATGGAATAACATATGAAACGATTTTCAAAAATAGAGTGACTTAACTTAAGAATTTTTAATTTTACAAAACAACCACCAATTTCTTCATACACGGTGGAGTTATTTTTTATGTACTGAATTTTTTTTATATTACTATCTTAATTTTTTTATTAATCATTTTTTAAAGTTTTTTAAGGGATTTTCAAAAATCCGTGAACAAAATATTAGAAAAAATGTTTTAAATTTTGTAGAAACAAAAAATTGTTATTGTATCATTTTATGACAAATGATAATGCAATATGGCTCGTTTTTCTTTTGTTAACATGAAATAAATGGCATTGAAAACAAAATGTAGATAATAACAAACAACAAGATTACCGTTATTGATTATTTTGGTATTACTTGTTTGTTGTATAGTTACATATTTGAAATAAACTTAAATACAAGTAAAGTAATCTAAATTACCACCTATTAGTTTTCTTCATAAATGTTTTCTCATAGAAAGACCTTGTTTTAACAGTATTTAAATAAAAAAATAAAGGCAAAACCATTTAATGGCCCATTTGGTTTGTAAGAATTAGCCCAATAAGGACAACTATGAAAGCGGAGTTGGTTATTTGCCCTATATAAAAAGACCTTTGATATTGTATTTTTGACTTTTTATATATACCTAATTATTATTATTTCTTTAACAGAGGAGGTTTGACCATAACAATTTAAGAGAAACTGATAGTGATGATAATAAGAAATGCACTCCAACATAAGCTATGTTTATAGATACCATCCTAACCTTGCAACAAATGAATGTCTAGAAATAAAGAAGAATTTGCCGAAAATATAGTCAGTCTACAAATGCAAGTCTTTTACATACACAAGAAATCAAAAAGTTCCCTATCTCACCATGTTCTAACTTTCTAGATTTGAAAAAACTACGAGTCAAAGTCCCGATCCCAAACACAGTACAACATGTTTTATTCTGTCCTAGCCTTGACACTCAATAACAGATGTCCTCGACAATTTTTTCACAATATTCTCATAAACCTCTTCCGACAAATGCCCTTTCCGCTCAAGTAATCCAATCATTTCCTTAGCTTCATCCGCATTCCCACTCCGATCCAAAAACTCAAGAATCTCAGTTAAAGTAGCCGTATCCACACTCCATCCCTTATAACTTCCCAAAATCGATTTCCTCATCGCCTCAACCGCCTTTTCCATTCCACCATTTTTAACATAACCCATCGCCATCCGAGACCACGTGGAAGCATTCGGCTCATGTCCCCCCTTCACAAGCCTCTCCACCACCCCCTCTACCTTTTCAAGCAACCCCTTCTTACAATAAACCGTAATTACAAGATTCGGGATTTGATAATCAAAGTACACACATCCCCTTTCCCACTCCTCATACAGCTTCGCCACGTCATCAACACAATCCAACTTGGCAAGCGAACTCATCATACAAAGATACCCGTGATTATAAAACTTCCCCATATTTTTATAAACCTTCCATACGCGATAAACATCGGATTTTCGTCCGGCGGAAGCGTATAAAGTGAGTAGAATTTCATAAGCTATCTTCTTTTGACTTGGTCTTATTAAATACTCAGATTTCTTTAACAAAACAACCGCCTTTTCAATATTTTCTTGATCGCCGGTTTTCAAGTAACCGTTTGCCACCGTTGTATACGCGTGCCATTCCATTTGGATCTCGGGGTCCGCTTCCATTTTTAGTAAAAGTTTTTCCATTTTTGGTATTTCCGAGGTTTTCGCGTACGCGTTTAATCGAATAGCGTACGTGAATTTATCGATAGGTATACCCTTTTGTTCCATTTCGTCCATTAAAAGGTCGAGTTTTTCGTATTGTAACATAGTGGAATATAATCCCATCATGACATTGTAGGTTAGCGACTTTGAATAACCTAAATCCCGCATTATTTGAAAGGTGGATTCGGCTTTTTCCAATGATTTTGCTTCCTTATAGCAATTGAGAAGAGCGCCATAAACTTGCCAAACACGTAAATTATTTGGGATTTTATTGAAGTAGTCCTCGGCTTGCTTTAGACCGTAAACTTTTGAAATTAAATCGAGCTCGACCGAAATACTTTTATGTGAAACATCGAGGTACGGTTTGTCGTTCATCCATTGGCAAATCTGTAAGAAGAATTACAGGAAACGACTTAATGGAATAAGTCAGGGAAATTAAGATCAAATGATGGATTGCTTGTAATATCAAGATTGGTTTCTCCAATGATGTTTTTTTATTATACTTAGAAACTCTAACTAATTATAGCATAGCACTTCTAACTTTTTCTACTTATTTTCACTCCTAGGTCCTAAGTTGCTGCCTACAAACTGCATATAAACTATAGCCATGGTCTTAATCTGATTTGGAGGTTATTGATCAGTCTACTACTTTAGGTTTAAGGCCTTGAAAAATGGTCCACTACCAATTGATAGAGTGAGAACTGTGAACTTGTTACAAATCCTAGCTTGTGTAACAACTAACAAATGCCAAATGAAATGACTTGCAAGAATCAACCCTTCTAGACTAGCAAACAACAGTGTCAAAATTAACAGACATTACCCACCAAATTAATTTACTAAAAAGTCCAATGAATTCCACAAAGAGGATCAAACTAAGCAAATACTTATAATGTCATGTTCACTGGTTCGAGAGATGAATATAACCTGGAGAGCGTGCTTGTAGCGGCTGAATTTCCGAAGCTGCTTAATAATCCGATGGAGATCTTCTTGGTCGATGGGTCTTCCTTCTCCTACCCATTGGTCTAGAACCGGGACAATTGAAGGTTCTCGAAAACCGACGAGTCTGTGGTACAAAGTGATAGCGGTAGCAGTTGAAGATGTACTGTTTACGTGATTAGGGGTTAGGGTTTGTGTGGAGTAACGCAAAACCCTAGACGAAGTGCAACAAAATTCATTCCATGAGGCTAAAGGAGGCGTGCGCAATTTCTTCATTATCATCATCATGACGGAGGAGCCACCGGAGCGTATTGTAGTTCAGACTTCAGATGCTTTTAGCCTTTACAGCACCGCATCTCGGCGAATTTTCGCGGTGGAACACCGTAACGATGTAAATGCAGTTCGTATTTTCAAAATGGTTGTCATTTTAAAATAAGAAAAGTCCCAAATTTTAAGAAGTCAAAATTGCAAAAATTGTCAGGTGGTATGTAAATTTTTGGTTATAGTCCAAACTTTTTGGATTTATGTTCAGTGATTTGTACGTGGAATTGGTCAATAAACTTAACTCTTGTTAAAAATGATTTGTTAAACGCTCATGTGCCTCACACATGAGGGTAAATCCATCATTTCATATGTAAGGAACAATTTTTACATAACTTTTTTTGGTTTAATTCCTTTTAAATATTCTCACTGCCAGTATCTTCTTC